TTTTTTTTTAAATGCCAGTATTTAAATCACCACACTGAAGAGACTAATAGGCTTTAAAGGCACAATCAGAACAATGAAGATAATACCCTGGTAACAAAATAAAAACAAACCAAATAAATTGTAGAATTGGGGGGGGGGCAATAGGAAATGCGTTTAAAATTCATTTACAACCATAACTCCCTTCTCTCCAAATCTTGCAAAATGCAGGCTGCCCTGATACTGAGATCATGTTTATGGTAACTGACTTTCTGATGATTTAGAATTGTTAACCAGGCCACTCTTCATCTAGTATACTTTCATTAACTTCTTGGTGCTAAGTGTTCAGCCATGCTTTTGTATCTTAAATATTCAACTCTGATACAACCAGAAAATTAACCATTTGTTACATTCCATGCCAAATGTTTTTCTGTTGCTCTGAATTTGTGATTTCATTTGTGCTACAAATGTGGAAACTCCTCCACCAAAAAAGACTAATATAGCTTTACTATTCATCTGCCACATACTACTATCCCTACGGCTATTTCCCACATTCTATTTCTCCCTCTATCCATGTGTTATTAATCAGTCACTGTCCCTGTCAATGCAATCTATCACTAATTTACCTCCTGTTCTCTCATCCCCACTCTCCTCAAAACCCTTCCCCACTCCAACCCTAGCCACCTTCTTTTACTAAGCCCTCTGGAATTCCCATTTGATAGTGAACAAAATTCCCTTCATCATGGACCTCTTTCTCTCACACTGGCTTCACAATGATGAAATTGAAACCCTAGCCATCCTCTCCACCACTGGCAGCTATGCTCATACAAACATGAACTGAAGGGAGAGTAAGAGTATTCTGCTCCCCATGACATTTCCAACATCACTGCAAGTTCTCCTCCTTTGAAGTCCACTCAATCAAGAATACACAAAATCCCAAAACAATGAAGGTTGTTTTCCTAACACCAAGGTAATTTTCTTTCCTTTTTCAGAGTTCAAAAACCTGGTTCACCATTGTCTTCTCCTCCCCAGCTCTTTTGCTTATGCTAGTAACCTTCAACATTTGCACTGGCACTCCCTCAAACTTCTTAATCTCCCAGGTCTTCAACCTCCTCAAATACTTCAACCTATTCCTTCACTCCACATCAGTCACTCATATGGATAATACTTGGATTTCACCATGAACCACAAGCGTTTCACTTCCTTGATCAGAACTCTAACATTCCTCTAGCTCACCACAACCAACTGTTGGTCCATCTCTCCCTTTGCCTCTTGCCTCCTCCATACCTACTCTTCATCTTCAACACTACTCCAAGCCCTCCAGCCCTGGGTACTGTTCCAGGACATTAACCCAGATCTGACTTCACTTTCCTCCCTTTCCAATCAAGGTCATTAAATTAACTGTTTCAACTCTGCATGGGGCTGTGCTCTAGAATTGCTCAACCCCTTTTCCTGCTCATCTTCTGACAAAACTCTGCCCTAGTCACCTCTTCTACTCCTATTCACCAGCTGTAGAACTAAGCAGGAAGTCTTTCACCTTTGTTGAGAGGATACCTTAGAAATTCAAAATGTTATCTAACCTCAAATAGGCTCTAGTTGCATCAAGACAGTCCTTTTATTCTTCCCTAATTAATCCTCTATCTCCTCACGAAAGCTATTCCAAACCTCATCCCACTTCAATTCTTCCACACCTACTCCTTCCTAACCTCCCTCAGCTAGCCTTTTACTTTAAAGAGAAAACAGAGGACAATTACATGAACCCACTCTCCCATTCTTTTTGTCTCAAAACCCCTTGACATCACCCTCACTCTCTTTTTCTTTCCCCAAATCTCTGACAAAAAGGTGACCCTTCTTCTTGCCAAGGCCAACCACTCTAAAAGTGCAGAGCCTGACACTGCTGACCCACTCTAATTTCTTGGATTTGCCTCTTTGATGTTTTGCAACAGTACTCTCTCCAGTCCACCTCCCACCTAACTGGCTACTCCTAAAGACTCCTTTGCTGATTTATCAATTACATCATAACCCCTAATTGTGGGTGATCCCTAAGGTTTTATCTTGGACTCTGCTCTTCTCCTTGGTAACCTCCTCAGCTCCCAGTGTTTAACTATCATCTCAACTTGAATGACTCCAGATCTACATATCCAGGTCCAGTTCCTCCTGCATGCAAACTGCTTATTGGGCATTTCAAGCTGGGTATCACAGAGACTTACTACTTACATGTACAAAACTGAACTCATCTTTCTACCTAAACCCTCCTGTCTTCAAAAACTTTTTTTTGTCAAAGATACCACTATCTTTGCAATTTCACTTTCCCTCTCTGCCTGTATCCAGTCAGTTGCCAAATCTTGCCATTTCTATCTTCACAACATCTCTCAAATCTAAGCCCTTCTCTCCACTCACATAGCCACCACCTAAATTCAGGCCTTTATCATCTCTTACCTGGATCACTGCAATAGCATCTTAGTCTCTGCCTCCAGTTTCATCCCATAGGAGTGCATCCTACATACTGCTGCCAAAGTAACTTCCTAAAGCACAAATCTGAGCATGTGACTCCCCTACTCCAACTCCTGGGCCTTCCAGTGGCATTTTCACTGGCTGCACCCCCCACTCACTCCCCATGCCTGGAATTCTCTCCCTCTTTATCTCCTTCTCTTGGCTTCCTTTAAATCTCAGCTAAAATCCTTCAGCAAGAAGGCTCTCCTGGGTCATCAACATTTAGTGCCTTCCCTCTGAGATTATTTCCAATTTATCTTGTATACAACTTGTTTGTACACAGTCGTCTGGAAGTTTCTCCCCTCAAGAGACTGTGAGCTCCTTGAGGGCAGAGACTGTTTTTGCCTTTCTTTTTTTTTTTGTATTCACAGCATTTAGCACAATGCTTGGCACTTAATAAACACTTAAAAGGACTTCTGCAGGAAGCCAACTGCTAGTGCTATCCCCCCCAAAACTACACTGTATTTAATAACTAGCAATTGTGTGCGTGTGTTTGCAATTTCAAAGTCATAAATTACGATCCGCTGAAATTAACTGGGGGGAAGGAAATATGAGCAGACAAGTAAATACAATCCCACCAGTACTATGAAACTATGTCACCAAACAATGGTAAAAACGTAAACTAGTGGGTTGTTACTCAAAACTTACAAGATAAAATTCTAACCGTCTCTCTCTTTCCCTCCACATCACCACAGACTTTATGAGATTTTAAAGATGCAGATGTTTCTATCACCTAGCAACAGTAACCTGAAAAATTTCCAACTCATACTCATCCCTACCTTCCAGACTCTTCATCTTCCTCCAAGGCTCAGCACAGGTACTGCCTCCTTTTTTAGACATTTCCCCTTTTTCTCATTTCCCACCACAGATTTTCCAAGAGTGGTTTGTCTCGTTTTCCCCCCGAGACTCCCTAAAGTACTGACTTGTCCGGGTACCTGTTGCAAAGCCCCAGAAGAATGTTAGCTCCTTGAGGGCAAGAGCCATTTCATGCAGCTTTTTATCTGTTTTGCTGGGTTTTTTTCCCCTCCTTGTATCCCCAATAACATGCAGAATAAAGGCTTAGTAAATATCTGCCGCGGGGAATACCTTTCAAGATGTAATTTTTCTGGAAAAACAAAGTCACACACATCTTCCTCTGCTCCCCTGGCCACGACACAACCATTGGCCAGGACGGTCCCCACTCGGATGACTCAAGGAAGTTTCCTCCCGGCAGAAGGGCTATTATCAGTTTCCCGATCCTGTCCTCCCCGCCCCCCGCTCAGTCCCCCCCGAGCCGGGGGCCCCCCGAGCAGGGCCCCGCCCGCCCCCCGCCGCCCGAGGAGGGGCCGCTGAGCCAGCCCCGGAGGCGGGGACGCTGGGGGGGGGGGGGTCGGGCCGCCCACGCTCCGTCTCGCCCAGACCCACCTTGAGCAGGATGGAAGGCGGCAGCTGATTGATGCCGGCGGTCTCGGGGGGCGGCTCTCGGCAGCCGTCGCTGGGGTAGTCGGCGGCGTCCAGAGAGTCGGGGTCGCCGCCCTCCGGCCGCGGCGGGGCGGATGCCGGGGCAGTCCCCGGGCCGCCGAGGCCGTCGCCCGCGGGGTCCCTCCGAAGAGCGGCTGCCGCACAGTCCGAGGAGCCGGAGGCCGCGGGCAGGGGGCAGAGCTGCGGCGGCGGAGGCTGCTCGGGGCTCGGGCAGCCGCCGGCCTCGGGGGGCCGGGGTGGCGACGCGCCGCCCCCGCCTCCCCCTTTGCCACCTCCCCCCCCGCAGCCCCCGCCGCCGCAGCGGGGCTGTTTGCAGGGGGTGCACGCGGGGACCCCGGCCCCCTTCCGCTTACACACCATGTCGGGCAGGGCGGGGGGCTCGGCCGCCGGCTGCCCCCGGAAGAGTTGGAAAGGAGGCGGTGGCGGCCCCAGGAAGCGGATGGGCCCCACGCCGGGGAAGAAGAGGCTCCGGCCCTGCTGCTGCTCCCAGGCGGCGGCGGCCGCAGCGGCGGCCAGGCCCAGCTCCTTGCAGCAGGACACGGACGACGAGGAGCCGGCGGCCGCGGCCGACGACAGCAGGAAGTGGCGGGCGGCGGCAGCGCAGTCCTCGGCCGCCCTGCGGTGCGCCAGGTGCTGCGAGGCGGTGGCGTAGGCCTGGTCCCGGTCCCGCGGCAGCGGCGGCTCCTCTTCTAGGCCGGCGGCCGCGGCAGAGACGGGCGTGCTGGGGCTGTGCACGATGAAGCAGAGCATGCAGGGCCCGCGGAGCAAACAGTCCCAGCTCCGGGGCGGCGGCGAAGGGGAGGGCGAGGGTAGCGGGGGAGCCTTGGCCGGGGGCAAGCGGGGCAGCCGGAGGAGGTGGCGGTGGCGCCGGCGGCGGCAGCAGCAGCACCGGGGGCCCCTCTGTCTGTGACGGTTACGCGGCACCTTCGAGAGGAGGTGGCCCATATAGAAGGCCCCGAGGAAGGAGCCGGGCGGAGAGGGGGGAAGGAGAAGGGAGAGGCGAGAGCCCTCCCCCCGCCGGCCGCGACAGCGAGACACGCGCGCACACACGCACACTCGCTGCTCGTTCACGGCCCGGCCCGGGAGCAGATGTCAGCTGCTGGCGGCCCCGGCGCGAGGCGGGGGCTTCATGCCGTGACCGGGGAGCCAGGTGAGCCGGGGAGGGTGGGGAAGGAGCGGGCCGGTGCCGGGGCCTAACTGTCGGAAGACCTGGCTCAGTCCGCCTGCGGGGCGGCCCGGCCGAGGGGGGAGGAGCGGCGAGCTCCGTCTCCGGCCATTTTAACCGAAGAGTATCCGGCGCGCGCGCCCGTGACCGCGGCTCCGACGCTACGGGAGCAGCTGGCACCTGTGGGGGGCGGGGGCGGGAGCGGGGCCGGCGCCGCAGGGGGTCCCGCTGTAGCCAGCCTGGCCGGCTGGGCGTCTGGGGAACTCCACGCCCTGGCCTGCCGCTTTATCGTGGTATCTGGCGGAGATTGGAGCCCTACTCCCTTATCTCCCGGGCTGGGAAGAGACTTCACCAAGCGAATGGCGGGATGTGGACTTGCCTCATCGCAGCACCTTGACCTCCGGTTGCCGGTGCAAGAACGGGTGGGTTACAAATGGGTTCTGGTCCCAGTTTTGCAAGGAATGAAGGTCAAGGCCCCCAGTTAGAGTAAGCCATGGTCCACTTAAGACTATTCTGTCATGGATACGTGGTGTGTATGTGCACGTACGTACATAGGCTTGTACTGGGCCCTCCCTCCACCTGTGCAAGGCTCTTTTCTGCAGTTTGGACTCTTGAGAGTTGCTGCACAGCCAGAGGTAGGATTTGAACTTAGGCTGGGCTGGTTCCTGAGGCTTGCTTTCTGTCCAATCAACCACCAGATTTTTCGGTTTTGCTTAAAATAGAGATACATTTGCTTTTTAAAATATTTCCTGTTTGCATGAAGATGCCTCAGAATATCAGCAACCATATATAGCTAAACATTAAAATAACTTATTAAATAAAATTCATGGTACATTTGGCATTAATTTTAAGTAACTTGTCAATAGCTTTAGCATGCTTTTATTATTTTTAGACCCCCTTCTGTTGAAAAAAAAAATTCAATCTTTTAAACTTGAATAAAAACATCATTTTACTTAACTCACTGGGTTATTGTGTTACAATTTTTTTTTCCTGCTGGGTTTCATGAACACTTCTCCTTGGGAAAGAAATTTACAAAGTCCTCTCAAAACCATGATTTTCATAACAAACTACTTTTCTCAGGTTGAAAAAGATACTATGTTTCAAAATTTCTTAATTGAGAATTATCTATAGGCTGTGCTGGCATAGATTTAACCAATGAATAGTCCATATACTCCACTGGTGTCCTCAGGAGGTCAAGGCAAATCAAAAAAGGCCTCTTGGGTCAAGTTTATGGAAGGTCATGGATTGGCAGGTATGGTTGGATTACAGTTTGCATCATTGAAGGGAATACCTACATTGAAGACATCAGATCTATTTTAGTATTTCCTTCCTTTACAAAAGGAGACAATGTAGGCTTCTTTTAAATATTGAATTCTTCGAGCTCCATTTCTGACACTTGATGATTCTGTAACCCCATTGGGCAAGTCACTTAACTTCCCTAGGAATCAGTTTCCTGCTCTGTAAAGTTATAGGGTCGGAATAGATGGCCTTTTACAATACTAGATCTGTGATCCTAAAATATCATTTGTACATTTCAGAAATTGTGTTTTATAAAGCTAAGTCTACCAGTATGCAATTCAAAAATGTTTTCCAAATGACCTATTTGTGAATTAATATTTTGGATGACAGGATTATAGGTTTAGATCATTGAATCCAACCCCTTCATCTTACAGATTAAGAAACATGAAAGGTTGAGCGATTGACCTGGGGTAATACAGCTATTAAATATCTGAGGTAAGATTCCAACTCAAGGCTTCCTTAACAACGGGATGCCTTAGTTGTAAAGACTTGCGTGAAAATGCATACCTTTCTTCTCTAAGAAGTTTTATAGGTAAAGATTTTGTCAGCATCTCTATTAAACAGTTTGTGGTTTTTTTTAAATTTAACTCTTGTATATAATACTTTCATACTTTGAAATTTAAATCACATTCTTAGGATTGGTTGATGACAAAACCATAGAAAGCTGTTGACTCTTACACCAAACCTGGTTCAAATAAGATATACCTACCGGAACTGTGCAGTTGGACCTAAGTTTGCTTAATATTTTATTAAATAATTAAAATTTGCTTCTGTTTTCATAAGCATTGTGAAGAGATACAAAGAAGTACAATACAGGGTCTTAGAATATCATTTCCAGTTCCATTTGAGAGACTGTAAAATAACAAGGGACATAATGGGAAATATCACATGACAATATATGATTAAAGTGCTGTATTTCTAGTCTTACAACCATTATTTTACTGTTTAATATCAGGAATTTTGTTTGCTCTTAACTTTTCCCATCTTCATCGTCATTTATTCCATAGTATTATACAAAATGACTGGTATTAAATTGTAGAAAAGTATTTGAATGGATGTTACTTTGCCAGTAGTTCATTACTCAAATCTCCAAAGCAAAATGTGAAATATTTTTAATTTACATATTACCTGAAGGAGTACTACACATCCCTGACCCTCTTCTTTGTGGTTCTTTACAGCACTAGCCTACAAATCAAGAAATATGTCATACAATGCCACGAGATAAATCGGCTCATTCTGTAGAACCTCATCACTGCCTCTGACCCTTATGAGGTGTGAGACATTGGGCAAACTCAACCTCTTATAGCCTCAGTTTCCTCATCTCTTAAATGGAGATAATACCAGTAGTACCTACCTTACAGGCTTAGTGCAAGGCTTAAATCAGAAAATGGATGAAAAGCTCTTTGCCAAATTCAATGTGAGAATATAAATGTCATTATATAATAAAATTGCCTTGTTTTTAAACCTTAAAATATTCTTTGAGTATTTCTCTACACTTCAAGTGCTTTCCACCATTATAGACTCATAGGGATAGCTTTCTGTTGGACTCCAAACCTCTTTTCCTTTATAGCCACTTCTTTCTGCAATCAGGAGTCACACTCCTTGAAGGTGCTTTTCTTTAGGTGACTGTTGTACCCACCTGGATGTATGGGTCCTCCTAGTCCAGTTTCTGAAGACATAGTGGGAAAGAGGAGAAAGGAAAAAAAATTCTTCCCCTTACTCACTTGAGGCACCTGGGTGGTGCAGTAGATAGAACACGGGGCCTGGAGTCAGAAGGACCAAGTTCATATCCAACTCTGGGCAGGTCTTGCCCAAGAAAACCCCAAAGTGGGCTCATGAAGAGGCAGACCAACTAAGCAACAAAACTCGCCCTTCTCAAGGGCTTGGCTCAAATTGGAATCGTCTGTACTGGATTTGAAATGCCTCCAGGCCAATATATGAAGCCTAATCTCTTTTTCTAAATTCTAGTCATGAATTACCAGTTGCATCCCAAACATTTGCACTAGGCTGTCCTGTAGGCATTTCAAATCCAGTTCCTGTCCAACTCCTCATTTTACAGATGGGGGAACTGAGTCAGGGTGAAGTGACTTGCCCTACATCAATCCCTGTAGAGAAGAAGCAGAGCCTATTGGCAGCAGGTGGACGAAGTTCAGCAGAGAAGCAACAAAGCAGCTCTATGTAGAAGTACCCTAGCAGCAGCCTCGAGAGTGAAAAGGTATTCTAACATGGACACATCCGAGTACTGCCAGTTGCCTGGCGTAGTGGTGGTTCTCAAAGTGCAGTCTAGAGATGAAACCTTTTCAGGGAGACCATGAGATCAAAACTATTTTCATAATAATACTCATATTTTCATTTCTAATACAGTAATTATTAATAAATGTGACCCACACAAATAAAAACTTTCCAGGAATCCTCAATAATTTTTAAAAGTATAAAGGGGTCTTGAAACCAAAAAGTTTGAAAATTGTTGTAGAGAAGTCCCAGTGAGGAAACTTCTTTTAGCGAAGATTAGCAACTGTCCTGCAGTTTATAGTCTGTTGAGATATTAGGAGACATCCTGTTTTTCCAGAGCTAAGGCCCAGCAAGCAAGCTGGGGCCTGAGCTTGACATAACAAGAATCCTTTGCAGTCACCCTCTGGATGATCTCAACCACAGCAAAATTCCAGAATTGTTTCATATAATTATTGTATTGCTTTAATCAGCACCAGGTGTTCTCTGAGCACCTGATGTATCCATGTTTTGGTCACAAAGCCCTGCTATGAACCAGACTTGTCTCATTGTTGCTGGTACCCCTCATTGTCAGGGCTACAGCTCACTGCCTAGACATTGGTATGAGTACTGAGATCTGCCTACACTATAGCAGGTGCCTCCCTCTAGGGGTGGGGATCCAGCACATATTTAATTTGCCTTCTTGCTATCTGTTTCCCTCACTTTGAAATTAAACTTCTGTCTGAATCCTGACTCTCCTATCTGGCTTATTCTGTTCTGCGCCAAGTTAGAGGCAGTTCCGAGTAGCTGACAAGTCTTAAGAAGTTGTCTGGCACATAGAAAGGTTAAGTGGTTTTGCCTAGGGCAAGCAATAGATGTGTCAGTGGCAGGTCTTAAATTTATGTCTTCCTTTTTCTGAGACTAGATCTCTAATCTAGACAGCTAAGTGGTACAGTGAATAGAGTACTGAACATAGAGTCAGAAAGACCTAAGTTCAAATGTGACTTCAGATACTTATTAGCTTTGTGACCACAGGCAAATCAATTAACCTCTCTCGGTCTTACCATCTGTAAAATGGGATAACACCTTTTAATAGTTACATTATAAATAATTCCCAGGGTAGTTGTAAGGATCAAATGAGGTAATTCGTAAAGTACTTTGTAAACACGAAAACCATATAGAAATGTTAGCTGTTTGTCTCTACCCATTACACTATATTTCTCACCCCATATTTGGATTGGGATAAGTAAATTCCTTCTAACTCCAATGATGCCCCTGTTAATTAGCAACAGGGTAATGCACATGACTATGTAGTTTCATTTTGCATCACCAAAGGGACTACAGCACCATAGATCTGTGATTCCTCAGGCCTGGAATGCTTTCCCTCCTCAACTCTATCTACTGACCTCACTGGCTTCCTTTTTTGTTATTCAGTCATTTTTTTCAGTTGTATCCAATGCTTTGTGACCCTATTTGGGGTTTTCTTGGCAAAGATACTGGAGTGGTTTGCCATTTCCTTCTTCAGCTAATTTTACAGATGGGGAAACTGAGGCAACAGGGTTAAGTGACTTGCCCAGCATCACACAGCTAATAAGTGTCTGAGGCCAGATTTGAAGTCAGAAGATGAATCTTCCTGACTCCAGGCCTGGCACTCTATCTGCTGTGCCACAGAAGCCTTACCCAACCCCTCTTAATTCCAGTGCCTTCTCTCTGTTAATTATTTTCTATTTATCTTGTATATAGTTTGCTTCATACTTATGTATTTGTATGTTGTCTCCCCTATTAGATTGTAGCTCCTGGAGGGCAAAGCCTGTCTTTTTGCCTCTTTTTGTATCCCTGGTCCTTAGCACATTGCCTGACACGAAGTAGGCACTTAATAACTGTTAATTGAGATCTATGACTGAAAGAGACTTCAGGAACCATATCTGCCAGACTTATCATTTTATGAATGAGGAAATTGAGGCCCAAGAAGGCCGCATAAGGCCACATAAGGAGTAAGTGTCAAAGATGGGAGTTGAACTCAGGTCTTCCTGTTCCAAAATTAGCAGTCTTTCCACTTGGGATCTGACAACCTTGCCACTTTATTACTGTACCTGCACTCAGGCCACTGTCCTCTTTACTCACACATAGTCATGGGGGTAATTGTAATCCCCTCAAAAATCTTTTCCAAGAAAAATAGTACCCTATCCACGAAAACATCTCTTCTGAGTAGTTCTTGTTTGGTGTTGCGCAAGGATGCTCTTGGCTCACATTGTTTAAGGATCCACAGATGAATGAATGAATGAATGAAAAATCATTTAAGTGATTATTAGGTCTAAAGTACTATGCTAATAACTGGGAATACAAATAGAATAGCAAGATAATTTCTGATCTAAGGTGCTCATTTTCTAAAATGGGAAGACAACATACAGGAAGTTTCAGCTGTAAGTCAGTTGGAAAGATCCAGTGATGCCTTTAGGGTGGATGAAATTTGTTCTTCCCTCTTTAACTTTACACCTATCTTATTGACATAATCATATATGTTCATTGGCTGCACATTAATTGTGCCATACTGGGCACTAGAACTTCAAAATAGTAAAGTACAAATTCTGTTCTCAAAGACCTTGCATTCCAATTGTAGTCTAATGGTTGAGTTTTTACCATTCATTCATTCGTTCATCAAGCATTTATCGTCAGACACTAGAAGGGAACAAAATTGAAATAATCCCTGCCCTCAACAAGTTTACGTTCTCATTATTATTATTTCCTTTATTAATAAGTGCCGACTTTTAACTTTCTGCCTACCTGTTTATTACAATTTCTGCTGATTGTAATCATTTAAACGTTGTCTGCCAGAGTTCTCATTTGGCCTTTACTCATCCTTCTATCCCATCACTTCTGTTATCTCTGAATCTTACAATACTACAAGATCTTAGCCTTGAAGTAAAGTACAAATTGACCTGAATTTTTTAATTGCTTATTGAATTGAATTGACTTGTCCTTTGATTCTTCCTGGACCTATTGCTCATTCTCCATTGCTTGGGACCTAGATTCCCAATGAAGGGTCTTGGGGGAAAGGAGAGCCCCTTCATTTGATAAGCTGATAACATCTCCCAATAAAAGGGTGACAAAACTTCCCTGCTATTCACATGTACTTAACAGTTCTGTTATCAATAAACATGGAGAGATGAAGAGATAGGCCTTACAGTAACAGGAATGGGCAAAGTATGTAAACAGCAGGGAAGGTTTGTCACACTTTTGTTGGGAGAGCCATTGCATGACCAACAAGATAAAGGACTAGGTATATTCTCTGATCCTTGTGACGTCTCAGAGCTCTCCAAAATAGAAATAAAATAATTTCAGCTATTTCCATGGTCCTGGACACCAAGAACCCAAAGAAAGTAAAAACTCCAAGAACTGGATAACTCGAGCTCAATCAGCACCCTCTCCCCAATTGCCCAAGGCTACACAAGCAAACCAGACCCACAGGCTTGCAGCAGAATGCAACATTCCCACCAGCAGCAGTGCTGTGGAGATCCATATTTGAAACTCTGGAAATTTGTTGAGGCTCAGATAACCAGCAAAGTGGTAGTGTTCCATGTTGCAACCAAGCTCTGTAGAATAGAAGGGCAGGACCCATGTCTGGGCTTGTATTAGAGTTCAATTCTATGTATGCCCTGACCCCTACCTCCTCTCAGTGCTATGGAGAGTCAAACTCCAAACTGTAGAAATTTGCTGAGACTGAGATAGCAATATAGCAACATTCACTACTGCTGCACCAGAGAGCTCTGAAAAATGAAAGGAATGAGGCAGGACTCTGGGAAGGAGGAGTAGAGAAAAGGGTTCCTTGTGACATGCTACTAAACTTTAGAGAAAGGACTCAGCATCCAATTGAGGACAATTCTGTTCCCCAAAAAGTCACGGGGTAGAGATCTGGAGTAGTAAACCATGAAAGCTCAGCACGAAAAGAGGCTGAGAGACTTTGAGTTCTAGTCCCCAGGGAAATCAAGAGGATCAGAGAGGAGAGAATCAGAAAGTAAGCAATAGGGGAAAATAAGGGAGAGAAAGACCAAAATTACCTAAGGTTGCAGGAAGAAGAAAACTCAAAGACCTTGAACATAAGCAGATAAAATAATAGGGAAGACAATGCCAGAAGGAATGGCCTCCATATCTAGGAAATCAGTTTGGGTATCTGTGAATACTGCAAAACAAAGGAAAATTATTCAATAGCTGTTGAAGCAGAAGACCCTGTAGATTTTGAGGACTGCAACATGCTGTTCCTGAGTGATTTAAAAGAGAAATGAAAATTGTGAGAGCAGAACTTA